AGTGCATGAAGATTCGTGCCTCGGCCAGAGGAGTTGACCCTCATCACCCTCCGATCACCAATCACTGGATCGGCCCCTTGACCAGGCCTGAGGCCTCCGGCAGAGGTGTCAGGCCTGGGCAGGGGACTCCCAGCTCCCCACGATCTCCCGCTCTGCCCCTGCCCAGGCCTAACGCCTGTGCAGGAGGCAGCTGATCGATGTTTCTCTCTCATCGATGTTTCTAACTCTCTATTCCTCTTCCTTCCTCTCTGTAAAAAAATCAATAATATATATTTTTAAAAAAGAGATGAGTCCTGAGTCCTCTGACACACCCCATCAGTTTTTAATACTTAATTATTGACACAAGATGTTGCACGTTTACCTGGTCCTCTTCCTGTCCAAAACCTAGATTCAGCTGTTGCTTCAAGGAATCCTGATCCTTTTAGTGGTCAATAGTATTTAGAAACCAAGCTCATCTAGGTGTGCTCATTGCCATTGTGCTGTCATCATTTCCGGACCCCTAAAAAAACAGAGCCAAGAAATATATAGGTTTTAATCCTGAATCTATACTGATACCCCCAATTTTAATCCAAAACCACAGAATTATTCTTCTCCTCCACCCACTCCATGTTTGTTATCTTCCTCTATCATAGTGAGAATACTGGTTTCCAGCAACTTCATTATGTACTCATTTGCTCAGTCCTGTACTGCACACAAAATAACTTACTATTCCCCTATTTTTACCAGCAGCAAACTCACTAAGTTCAGGGATTTTTGGAGTTAGTTGTTGTTGTTGTCCTCAGAATATTCTACACAGAGCACAGAAAATACTCTGTTCAAAAATTATTTGAATTGTTTTTTCATTTGATCCTATTTTTGTTTAACGTGAGTTTTCCCCCATATTTGTTGATTCAATTTTAATTTTTGAATATGTAAACTGTGAACAAGGTTACAACAGCAGAATGTATATCCTTTTTAAGTGCACGTGAAATATTCAGGAAGCAAGACCATATGATATGCCATAAAAATGTCTCAACAAGATTAAAAGGATTTAAATCATGAATAGTATGTCCTGATCACAATGGTATTAAATTAGAAATCAATAGCATAAACATATATGTAATACCTAAATATTTATAAGTTAAAAAACACAAATACTCTGTAAGTCAAAGAAGAAATTACAAAGGATATTATAGAATATTTTGAACTGAATAAAAATGAAAATACAGCATGCCAGAATTTGTGGAATGCAGTTAAAGCAGTGCTTAGAGAGAAATTTAAATGCTTTTATTAGAAAAGTGAAAAATTAAACTCAGTGGCCTAAGTTTCCACACCAAAAAGCTAAAAAAATAAAAAGGAAAATCAAATTAAACCCAAAATATATGGAAAGATTAAGAAGATAATCAAAATAAGAGCAAAAATAAATGAAATAGGAAATAGAAAAACAATAGAGGAAACAATAAAACGAAAAGCTGGTTGGTAGGAAAAAAAAGTATGATAAATTTCTAAGTATATGTTTATGCCAATAACAGAGATAACACAAATTATAAATTCTAGGGATGGAATAAAGGACATTAATACAGACATTAAAAGGATAATAAGGAAATATTATAACAACTTTATGCCAATAAATTTGACAACTTGGATGAAATGGAAAATTTCCTAATAGACAAAAACTACTAAAATTGACAAAAGAAGAAACAGAAAATAGATGTTAATTGAGTTGAACTGTAATTAAAAATGTTTCGATACTAAATGCAATGTGGTAGTCTGGATTGGATACTAGAAAACATTAGTGGCAAAACTGGTAAAATTTGTATAAAGTCTAGACTTTAGGTAACAGTATTTTGCCAATGTTAACTTCCTAGTTTTGATAAATGTACTATCTATAATAATAAAAGCATAATATGCTAATTAGACTGGACATCCTTCCGGACGACCTTCCAGACAAAGCCACGGTGGTGGGGGCTGAGGCAGAGGCAGCTGCCTTGGCAGGGGGCCCAGGGAGCCGCCACAGCAGAGCTGAGCACCTTGCACAAATTTCGTGCAGCGGGACTCTAGTGATTATATAACATGTTAACATTAGGGAAACTGGGTGAGGGGAAAATAGGAACTCTACTATATTGTCAACTTTTATATTTATTGTTTTAAAATAAAAGCTTTACTTAAAATCAACGACAATGCAAAAAAAAACAAAAACCCAATTTTAAAAAGCCTCCAGACCCAGATAGTGTCACTGATGAATTGTATTAAACATTCAAAGAACAAGTAATATTAATCCTACATGAACTCTTCTAGAAAACAGGAGAGAAGGAAAATTTTTGGAACTTGATTTATTAAACCAGCATTTCTCTGGGACCAAACTCAAGAAAAGTACACTACAGAACAATATCCCTCATGAACAAGATGCAAAAATTCTTTTAAAAAATACTGTAAATAGAATATAGTGATATAGAGAAAGGATAATACAACATGATGAAGTAGGGCTCATCTTAGGAATGTGTGGCTGCTTTTACATTCAAACATCAAATCAATTCACCATATTAACAAAACAAATAAGAAAACCATATAATTAAAGACATGCACACACACACACAAAGCACTTGACAAACTTTAATACCCAATCATGATAAAATGTCAGCAAACTCAAAATAAAAAGGGACCCTAATGTGGCAGGAGTCATCTCTGAAAAACCAAACCCAAGAATGTACTGAATGGTAAAATACCCTAAGATTGAGAACAAGGCAAGGAAGAATATCTGCTCCCACTGGTTTTAGTCAACATTGTACAAAAGGGCCTAGCCAATGCAATAAGGCAAGTAGAAGAAGGCATAGAGATTAAAAATTAAGAAGTAAACCCATGTTTATTTGCAGAAAGCATGATCATCTATGTAAAAAAAACGTTCAATCTACAAAAAAAGCTACTATAATAATTAAGCAAAGTTGCAGAATACAAGTTCAACATTCAAAAATTAATTATATTTTATATACTAGCAGCCAAAAAAAGTTATTGAAATTAAAAATACAGTATCAATTAAAACAGGACCCAAAATCATGAAACGCTAATGGATAAATTTAACAAAATATGCTACTGGACCTGTATGTTGAAAACTACAAAACATATTGAGACAAATTTAATAAAACCTAAAGAAATGGAAAAATACACCATGTTAATGTATCAGAACACTCAATATTTTAAACTATGGTGGTTTTGGCATAAGGATAGAAATACAGATAAATGAAACAGACTAGATCAGCGGTTCTCAACCTGTGGGTCGCGACCCCTTTGGGGGTCGAACGACCCTTTCACAGGGGTCACCTAAGACCATCGAAAAACACATATATAATTACATATTGTTTTTGTGATTAATCACTATGCTTTAATTATGTTTAATTTGTAACAATGAAAATACATCCTGCATATCAGATATTTACATTACGATTCATAACAGTAGCAAAATTACAGTTATGAAGTAGCAACGAAAATAATTTTATGGTTGGGGGTCACCACAACATGAGGAACTGTATTAAAGGGTTGCGGCATTAGGAAGTTGAGAACCACTGGACTAGACAGTTAAAAAATAGACCCACAGTTTTATGCTCAATTATTTTTTGGCAAGGTGCTAAAAATCTTTTCAACAGATGGTTCTGAAACCCTTATGGGGGATAAAATAAATCTCGAAATGTATCCCACTCCATACATAATAAATAATTAAAAATTGATCTAGACTTAAATGCAGAAGCTAAAATTCATTGTTTTTCAGTGTTTCCTTGCAGCATCCTTCTGACCATACAGTTGCCATAGCCTTACCTATCACAAATGGTATAGGGATCTATACCACTGGGATCTCAGCTCTGGGATCTCAGCTTATAGAGGTCACTCTGCCCCCATATTCCCTAATAATCCCACAGGCTCCATCTCCATTTTGGGCAGGAACAGATGGTGCTCTGAAAAAACATATAGCATGGATATGCAGCAGTCCTGTGGGCTGGCAATGAATGGGGTGAAGAGCTGGAGTAACAGTCAGTCCTCTTGGGTTCAGGTAACAAGAGGGTCTCACTAGAATTGAGTCCAGTCAGCTCCCCTGGCCCACATCTATATATATATAAAAGGCTAATATGCAAAGTGTCCCCTCAGGAGTTTGACCGGGAGACCGGGAGTTTAATCCCTCACTATGGCATGTGCTGATCACCAGGGAGTGGCGTGGAATGAAGGAAGGCCCCAGTTAGCAGCCAGGGAAGGAAGGCCCCAATTGGCACTGATCGCCAGCCAGGCCTAGGGACCCTAACCATGCATGAATTTCATGCACTGGGCCTCTAGTTTTGAGATAATAGTGATTCTAACAGCACCATGAACTCAAATGTCCATTGAAGTTTTTTCCAGGAAACTAATAGCATGAAATTTATAAACAAGACTCCTTATAAGGATGAAAAGATGATTTGCCATTCAGTTCTGTTGTTGTTGTTGTTTAATATATTTTTATTGACTTCAAAAAGGAAGGGAAAGGGAAAGGGAAAGAGAGATAGAAACATCAATAATGAGAGAGAATTATTGATCGGCTGCCTCCTGCACATCACCCACTGGGGATGGAACCTGAAACACGGACATGTGCCCTGACCAGGAATAGAACCCTGACCTCCTAGTTCATAGGTTGACACGACCACTGAGCCACACCAGCCAGGCCAGTTCTTTATGTAATGCTTAAAGGGCACTTTTAACACTTAAATCCAGAATATTTCACATATAGTGTTGGGTAAACACAGCAAGGCTTTCTTCGAGATTTCCTTTGGAGAATTTATACACAGAGATTAAGCAGAGCAGAATTATTGCTGAGTCCCTCTGTCTTCCCTCAAAGGAGTCTCCATACCCAGTGAGGTCAGATCTGTTCACTAGGTTCTCCCGCTCTCTGGAAGAGCTAAGGATGATAATATTAGTAAAGCTGACTCTTGCTATATGCCAGGTGCTGTTCTAGAGCTATCTGTAGAGCCTCTCCTTTAAGAGAACATGTGTCTCTTTTGCAGTTGTGAAGACGATCTTTCCGAGGACAGAGAGGAGCTTCTGCACGGCATTTCTGAGCTGGACATCAGCAACTCGGATTGTTTCCCATCCCAGCTGCTAGTGCATGGAGCTTTAGCCTTTCCCCTGGGGTTAGATTCCTACCACGGTTGTGTTATAGCGGCTGCCCGCTATGGCCGGGGCCGGGTGGTAGTGATGGGCCACAAGGTACTATTCACCGTGGGTAAACTGGGCCCCTTTCTGCTCAATGCTGTGCGTTGGCTGGACGCAGGCCGCCGAGGCAAGATCGTGGTGCAGACGGAACTAAGGACAATGAGTGGTCTGCTTGCAGTGGGGGGCATAGACACCAGCATTGAGCCCAATCTGACCAGTGATGCGAGTGTCTATTGTTTTGAGCCCACGAGTGATGTGGGAGTCAAGGAGCTGCAGGAATTTGTAGCTGAGGGCGGGGGCCTGTTTGTTGCAGCCCAAGCCTGGTGGTGGGCCTTCAAGAACCCTGGAGTGTCGCCTCTGGCTCGGTTCCCAGGGAACCTCCTGCTCAACCCCCTTGGCATCAGTATCACAAGCCAAAGCCTCAATCCAGGGCCCTTTCGTACTCCAAAAGCGGGGATAAGGACCTATCACTTCCGCTCCACTCTGGCTGAGTTCCAGGTTATAATGGGGAGGAAGAGAGGGAATGTGGAAAAGGGGTGGTTGGCAAAGCTGGGGCCGGATGGCGCAGCTTTCCTGCAGATCCCTGCAGAAGAGATCCCTGCCTATATGTCTGTGCATCGGCTCCTCAGGAAGCTGCTGAGTCGATACCGGCTCCCAGTGGCGACCCGAGAGAACCCAGTCATCAATGACTGCTGCAGGGGTGCTATGCTCTCCCTGGCCACAGGTCTGGCCCACTCTGGGAGTGACCTCTCACTGTTAGTCCCAGAAATTGAAGACATGTACAGCAGCTCCTATCTGCGCCCCTCTGAATCTCCTATCACCGTTCAGGTCAACTGCAACAATCCAGGTATGGAAGTAGGGGTGGGAGCTCAGGGTTGGGGGACTGATACATGATGACTTAGCTCACTTCAGGGACCTGATCACTTCCAGAAGGCCACCTCCACCCTTTGCCATGTACTTTTAAGGAGATAGGGATTGGGGCATTATGTAATGTTTGCAAGAGTTGAGTCAGGGCAGCGTGGACGGGAAAGATGTACAGAACTCATGAAGGGCCTGTGGAGATGCTGGATGGAGATGGAATTATGGAGGGGGAGTAAAGTCCTTCCATGCTTTTGACAGGCACCCGATATTGCTGGATGAGCACTGGGCTGTACATACCTGGAAGGCAAATTATAGAGGTCTCCCTGCCTGAAGCTGCTGCCTCTGCTGACCTGAAGGTAAGGCCACACCCACCTCCCCAGAAAACATGGAGCCCAAATGTTCTTGCTTTCATAGTTGGCATCTTGATCCTCATAAAAACTCTACTGGCAATATGGGGCATGTACTTTTACCCCCATTTTAAGGATGAGGCAACTAACATGCAGAACAGTTAAGTGATTGATTGAAATGTACAGATCTGATATATTTCAGAGCCAGGACTCAAACCTAATCACCTCCTCACCCTGAAGTTTTGTGCGTTTCACTGATATCATAGAGTAGGGAATAGGAAAGGTGCCATGTGGAAGGCGCCCTAGCACACAGTTGTATTCAGTAAACCTTAGTTCACTTCCATCTCATATGTCTCTCCCACTGTAGCACAAGTCCTTTCTGACTCCAGCTTCTTCCTGGGATGCCAAAGACTGTTCCTTGCTATCCCTGCCCCCCTCAGCTCTGTCACTTGCACATATACATACCCTAGTCACATATTAAGTTGCAGTGCTGCTCTGTCTCCCTTGAGGGTCTCTGTGACAGGACTTATTCTGTGCCTGCATTTATCCTAGCGTTTGATTAGCATAAACCCAGGAAAACAATTCTAGGACTCCACCAAAAACAAGGGTCACTCCACTGGCTCAGGAAGGGGAGTCTTATAGATCGGAACTGAGTCAATCCTCTACCACATCAGCCTGTCACACTAGATGCCACTGGGCCTCCTCTGGAGTCAGCAAAAGGCTGGATCCCTTCCATCCCATTGCCAACACCAGAGTCCCCATCATGGAACACCTAGTGCCCTCACATCAGCATCTTAACATCACCTTAGTAGAGCTGTTTGACTCCCCTGGGAGGATATTTTCACACCATTCAGTCCATACCACCTAAAGAATGATGCAATTCCATAGGTTTAGCACACACAGTTCACAGACATGGGGTCATATAGCCTGGTGCCCTTCCTGTCCCCACCTCATGGGCATTATCCTCTTCCACCGAATGCACTTCAGGTGACTCTGTGGGGGGTATCTCTGCTCCAGATACAGATTGGCTGCCACACAGATGACCTGACCAGGGCCAGCAAGCTGTTCCGAGGCCCACTGGTAATCAACCGGTGCTGCTTGGACAAGCCCACAAAATCAATCACCTGCCTCTGGGGCGGCCTCCTCTACATCATCGTGCCTCAGAGCAGCAAGCTGGGTTCTGTGCCCATCACTGTGAAAGGGGCTGTGCATGCTCCATTCTACAAATTGGGTGAGTGTGCACTATGGAGTGAACCCTGGGGCAGGAGAGTTGGGGGTGAGGAGGACACTGGGACTGTTTGGTGCAGGAAGAGAAAGATTCAGATTGGAGGAAAGAAGGAAGGTAAGCCTCCTTAGATTCATCTTTGGGGCCAAGGAGATAGACCAACCCACATCCATGGGGATGCCATAGAAGAAGGATGGAGATGGGGACATGGTTGTTCATGGCCTTGGTGTTCTCCTCCTGGGGTTCAAGTTAGGTGTTTTAACCTAAGGGATTCGGAAAAGGGCATTTTAACCCCATGGCCTCTCTTCTCAGGGGAGACATCCCTGGAGGAGTGGAAGAGGTGTCTCCAGGAGAATCCAGGTCCCTGGGGAGAGCTGGCTACAGACAACATCATCCTGACAGTGCCAACTGCCAACCTTCGCACACTGGATAATCCTGAGCCGGTGCTTCGCCTCTGGGATGAGGTGATGCAGGCTGTGGCACGGCTGGGGGCTGAGCCCTTCCCCTTGCGTCTGCCTCAGAGGATTGTTGCCGATGTGCAGATTTCAGTAGGTGGGTGCCCTGTTCCAAGCAACCCTGTGGGACTTCTTCCTCCCAAAGGCCATGCATTGGGCAGCCAGCAGGGAAAACATGCTTTTCTAGCAAGACAAATAAGATGTAATCATCGTTATTTAAATGAAAAGGAAAAAGGTTTATTTAAAAAAAAATAGACTCAGTGACTTTCACAAAATTTGGAAACTACCTAAATGTCCAACAATTATGGAATGGATAATTAATATATTGTGTGTACCCTCAATAGACATTGAGGAAGATGTTTAAAGTGATATTTTGATGGTGTTTTACCAGTGAGCCAGGAGGCCTAAAAAATTTGGACCTATAGAAATTTTATTTCTATAGGGGGGTCTATAGAAATTAAATATGCATGGACATTGCTCTAGGCCAGGGGTGGGCAAACTTTTTGACTCGAGGGCCACAATGGGTTCTTAAACTGGACCAGAGGGCCGGAACAAAAGCATGGATGGAGTGTTTGTGTGAACTAATATAAATTCAAAGTAAACATCATTACATAAAAGGGTACGGTCTTTTTTTTTTTTTTTTAGTTTTATTCATTTCAAACGGGCCGGATCTGACCCGCGGGCCGTAGTTTGCCCACGGCTGCTCTAGAATCTAGGTTTTTTTTTGGCTTACGATCACTATAAAGTAATATTAACGTGGGCAACTCCACATCTAAATGACAAGAAGGGAACACCCTCAATGAATTCTTAATTTTGAGAAAAGAGTATAATGACATAGGTTCCCATGGACAGGGCACTCTCATAAACATAGACATCTTGAGTAGTAACATGAACAGTGATTTGGGACCTGCATCACCTCCCATAAGCACATGCTCTCAGTTCAGAGTGAGGATGAGGGATCATTACAGAGTGAAAGGATAAGGAGGAAAGCCCTGGATTTGGACTGACCTTCTGAGCAGTACGGGGTTCTGGAAGTCATTGGGGTTACTAAGTATTTTGGGAGATACAAAACAGAGAAGAACTTTGTAAGATATGTGGGGAGCACTCTAACCCTCCACCTCCCTCCTCTATTTTCAGGCTGGATGCATGCGGGGTACCCCATCATGTGCCACCTGGAGTCAGTGCAGGAGCTCATCAATGAGAAACTCATCAGAACCAAGGGGCTATGGGGCCCTGTCCATGAGCTCGGCCGCAACCAGCAGCGGCAGGAGTGGGAATTCCCACCACACACCACTGAGGCCACCTGCAACCTGTGGTGTGTTTATGTTCACGAAACGGTCTTGGGCATTCCTCGAGGCCGTGCCAATATTGCCCTGTGGCCCCCAGTTCGGGAGAAAAGAGTCAGAATCTACCTGAGCAAGGGTCCCAATCTGAAAAACTGGAATGCGTGGACAGCCCTGGAAACATACTTACAGGTATGCTAGGCAAAAAGGAAGGGTGATGGGAACCCTTTATTCTGGGGATACCAGAGCATCATTGTTAGGTGATGTTCTTGTAACCCAGAAGACCTCCCACTACACCTGTCTCCATGCTAGGCCTCAGGAGACCCTAAGAAAGCCGAATTGTGACAGTCCTATTAGATGATGCCTCTCAGTATATCATTTTGCATGATCCTACGTAGAGTTAACTGCCTCATCCCCACCCTCACCCTATGAACTTGAAGAAATGCATGAGAATAGATAGGAAGCACTGAGAGAGGTGAAAACACGGTAGAGGCATGTGTATTGCTATAAATACAGTTACTATCACAGGCTTTAGACCAGACATAACTGAGATTGACACCATTGACTATTTAACAGCTATCTAAAACCAAAAAGCCTCCCCACACACAAAACAAATATGGGATAGGACATATTTTTTTTCCTCAGATGAGTATACCCTCTTCTCAATATGACTTGGCTGTGCCTGTTTCCACCTTATAGGCGATCTAAGATTTCTCCCTGGCCTGAACATGGAGGTTGCTTTTGCCTTGAATTATCATTCAAACACCCCAGTTCTGCCCCTGAGTCCCTGGATTAGTTCCCAGTTCATTGTGGAGAGTTTCATCACCTTGGATTCTGGAACTCAATCCCAGACCAGTCACACTATCTAGTCTGGTTTTTCCACCTGCTCCAGTTCCTCTGTGTTTATTCCCATGGCCTTGAGAATGACAGTGAAAATGCCTGGGGGACTCTACTTAAACTTGTCATTAGGGCCACTTCACCCCAGGGACAGAAGTTCCACATCTGTGACATAAAGTTGAGGTTGTTCTAGGGAACTGCTAACATCTCTTTTCATGCTACAGCTCTATAACCCAGCCTAACATGGGCTGTTTCCAATGGTCTCAGGATGGATGCCTTTCTAAAATGATACTCTTAACTCTAGCTACCTAGAATATATATAGTATTCTGCTTCTACCAGACTCACTCCTCCCCTCCCCCCCCGCCCAAGGCCATTTTAGTTGCCTTGTAAATTAACAAAGACTATGATTAATGAGGATTATGACAGGATAGGAGTTCCCTAAATATTGGGTTTAACTTTGCAACTATGAAAGATATAAGGATTTTTTTTCATGCCAGCCCATTTGTGTAATATCCTAGTGAGATATTACATAATCTAGTGAGATATATGAATAATGATAGATTTAACTGCCTCAGCCCCACAAGCACAACACGCAATCATTTATTGAGTGTCTGCTTTGTGCTGAGCACTGTGCTAGCTGAGAGACCCCTTTTTTAAAAATTGATTTCAGAGAGAGGAAGGGAGAGAGAGAGAGAAATGTATTATTTGCTTCCTGTATGCCTCCTACTGGGGATCAAGCCCGCAACCAGGGCATGTGCCGTGATCAGGCATCGAACTGACCACCTTCTGGTGCTTGGGTCGACACTCAACCACTGAGCCACACCAGCTGAGCGAGAGGCCCTTCTTAAGATTCAAATATGAAAGAGGGCATGAAGCCAGCAGATAAAGCAAGAAAGATGGTCCGTCATAGCCATGCAATTAGTGTTGAAGGGGTTCAATGCAGTAAATTCATTTATCAGAGTGTTTTTTAGGTCTTCTTGTTGTAGACTACCTGTCTCATCCTGCCTCATCCTTCTCTTTTCAGCTCCAGGAAGCCTTTGGTTGGGAGCCCTTCATTCGTCTCTTCACTGAGTATCGTAACCAGACCAACTTGCCCACCGACAATGTTGACAAGATGAATCTGTGGGTGAAGATGTTCTCCCACCAAGTGCAGAAGAATCTGGCTCCCTTCTTTGAGGCCTGGGCCTGGCCAATCCAGAAGGAAGTGGCTACCAGCCTGGCCTATCTGCCTGAATGGAAGGAAAATATTATGAAATTGTACCTCCTCACACAGATGTAAGGAGTGCCCAGCAAGGTGGCAGATAGAGAGGTGTGGGGAGGTAGACAGAGACAAGAATTCACTCCTCAGCCTCTGTCTCTTAGGGCTCTAGCCTTGTCCTCTGGGCTCACTGCCCTAGTTCTGTCTCTTGAAAGTGGGTTAAAAACACAGTAAGAAAGTGGAATCAGAATTTCTCAGGGGCAAGGTCTTCTGTTTATGAGTCTTGTTCCTCAGCTCTCTGCTATCAGATTCACTCCTAACCCTAATTGGGCCAGTTCTGAGAGCTTTCTATGCTAGCCCTTGGTTCACCATCATGGCCCATGGCCCATAGAGAGTAGTTCTCATCCTGACATCCTGAGGACTCACTGGATTTTATTTTTAATGAGTTATTCCAAAAACCCTGACCATAGAACCCAACTGAAATACAAATTTATCATGATTTCCATAGCTCCCTGAGGACTCATATATTTTGTGTATTGGGTAGTTTTCAAAGAACTTGAAAAGTAATCTGGTGAAATAGAACCCATAGCTAGGGTTAGCTCTTAGGAAAGTTGTTTTATTTTGGTATTCTTATTTCTTTGTGTATACGATGAGGGTAAAAATTCCTACCCCGCGGGTTGTCATAGAGACTCAGTAATTCTGAAGAGGTTTGTGAATACAGTGCATACTGTCCAAGGGATTGCTTTATTTTATGCTGTTTCACAGAGTAGTGAGCTGACTACTTCCTATAGCCTAGAGGTTAAGATCATCAACTCTCACAGTTGACTCCCCTGCCTCCAGATCCTGGTTCTTTCACCTGTTAGTTATATGACTCTGGGCAAGTTCCTTAATGTCTCTGTCACCCAATTTCTTCATCTCTAAAATGGGATTGATTTCATAGGATTATTGTGAGGATTAAATTTTAGTGCCTCTGAAAGTGATTAGAACAGTTAGCTGGCCGTTAGTAGGTACAAAGAAGATGTCAACTGCCATTATTATTATCAAATTAACTCACTATCATTGGAGAACTAGACTTCACTTTTAGATGGCTTTTACAAAAGCAGTGTAATTAATCCTATGCCCTCCTACACTTCCTACACCAACCTCTAAAAGGAGTCTGGTAGTTGCTTTATGATCTAAAGGAAGGGCTCTAAATTCACAGGGTTTTACAAGCTACTTAGGGTTTTGGGCTCTCAGTTCCATTGTTCAGGTAGAATTCCATCTCTGATTAAATAAAGAGTTTTCAAGTCACTTGAAAACTCAGGAAAATTCCAGTAGGATGCTTGTCTTTAGCAAACAATGGGCAACTGGCTCAGTGTTGGTGTTTATATTTCCATAGTGACACAGATTTCTATCATTGTCAAGAGTTACTTACTAGTTGGGCAGATAAAGTTCACACAATATAGAAATATTTACTTTGGAATAAAAGAACTAGATATAACCAACTGAATTTCACTTGATTAAAAGATTTTCTTAAATGTTCTTCTAATCATATTCAGAAACTCCCATTTCTTATTAGCTTCAACTAGAGTCAAGGATGTAGGATTAATGTTGTATACATCCAGCCAGCTTTCTTTTAGCTCACTTCTTTTTATTTAGTTATTGTAATACACCATTTTGTTTGCTTTACTGAAAACTGGGTGGGTGCATAAATAATAAGATTTGACCTAGATGTTTCTCTTTGGATTTTTTAAAATGTATTTTTATTGATTTCAGAGGGGAAGGGGGAGGGAGAGAGAGAGAAAAACATCAATGATGAGAGAGAATCATTGATCGGCTGCCTCCTGCACGCCCCCTGCTGGGGATCGAGCTGCAACTCAGGCTTGTGCCCTTGACTGGAATTGAACCAGGGACCCTTCAGTCCACAGGCCGACGCCCTATCCACTGAGCCAAACCGGCTAAGGCTGGATTTTTTATTATGTCATTTCTCAATCATAGAAGTATTTTCCCTTATTTCATGAATATCTTTCATCTGGGTGCTTTAAACATAGATGTTGAATGTCCATTCAACCTTTAAAATATATATTTTATTGATTTTTTTACAGAGAGGAAGGGAGAGGGATAGAGAGCTAGGAACATTGATGAGAGAGAAACATCGATCAGCTGCCTCTTGCACACTCCCTACTGGGGATGTGCCTGCAACCAAGGTACATGCCCTTGACCGGAATCGAACCTGGGACCCTTGAGTCCACAAGCCGATGCTCTATCCACTGAGCCAAACCAGTTAGGGCCATTCAACCTTTAAAATAATTGCTATCAACCCCTGGCCAGTTGTTCAGTGGTTAGAGCATTGGTCTGCAGACCAATGGGTCAAATATTCAATTCCTGGTCAAGGGCACGTACTTCAGTTGCAGGCTCGATTCCTGGCCCCAGTTGGGACACACACAGGAGACAATCAATCGATGTGTCTCTCTCATATCAATGTTTCTCTCTCTCTCTCTCTCTCTCTCTCTCTCTCTCTCTCTCTCTCTCCTCTCTCTCTCTCTCTCTCTCTCTCTCTCTCTCTCTCTCTCTCTCTCTCTCTCTCTCTCTCTCTCTCTCTCTCTCTCTCTCTCTCTCTCTCTCTCTCTCTTTCCCTCTCTCTCCCTCTCTGTGTCTCCTTCCCTTCCACTCGCTCTCTAAAAAAAGTCAATGGAAGAAATATCCTCAGGTGAGGATTACAAAAAAAAATAATAATAATTGCTATCAATTAGTGGGATGTCAAGTACATGCCAGTGATTGGACTGGTTCCTTTATATATATAGTTTCATTAAATCCTCACAGTGATCTTATAAGATGGAAATTTACTGCTCCTTTTTTAGGAATGAGCAAACTGAATTTTATGGAGGGCAATTGAAGTGCCTAAGGCTACACTGCCAACAAGTGATAGAGCTGGGATTTGAACCTGGGCATTCTGATTACAGTGGGTGTTAGTAACTACAGTGCTTTGAATAACAAAATAAATGAGTAAATGAAGAAACCAACCAGCAAAGAGAGATATCTTTATGTCTCTACTTGCCAGCACTTTGGCTGCTTGTACTTGCTCCTCATCTAATTTTATCAGAACAAAAAATACCTTTGTTTATCCCAAATTCCAGTTCAAAAGAAGAATCTGAGGTAGGCTCCTGAAGTGTTTCCCAATAGACAGAGCTAGGATGATCCCTTTAGTGTCATCCAACTCTTTTTAGGTTTCAGGTTATTCAGGTTTCAGTCCTTCCCTCTAGGGCACCATGAAAGCATCTACTAGCTTATTGGATTTTGAATAATGGGTTATTTTGATGAAGTGCCTGACTCCCCAAAGTCCCAGATATTGCATGTTCTCAGAAAGGAAATTAGATCCTGAGTTATTTAGAATAATACTTATATCTATTCTTGCCCTCTTTAATCCATTTTTATCAGTACAGCCCTGGGGATGTCTTAAAAATGTAAAACTATCCATACCACCTCCTTACTTAAAAGCTTCCAGGGCTACTTTGAATTTAAGATGATGAACTGAACATACAAATTTATCTCTCCTCCCTCTACAGGCCCCATTGAAATTGAAGTAAAAGAAAACTGGAAGGCATTTGGTTATGAATGAAGAAGACCTCAACACATTTCTGGACAGAAAGTGGATGAAGTATGAAAAAAGAATGAAAGAGTGAAGGTACCTTTCAGAGAGAATATAAGCTGATCTGAATAACATAACCACAGAGAGGCTTGGGCACCTAAAAAGTCTATCTACTAAAGAATTATACCAGTTGTAAAATTGAACCCCATCGCATTCTACCCTATTCCTTGTGCATAGAATTCAGGCAGTCAACTATTGGTACCAGTGAGAACTCTGTTGTTGCTATTATTGTTGTTGTTGTTGTTTATATAAAGAAATTGAATAAATTACCTGAGAGAGGTAGGAGTTGGTGCTTCAGAATGAAATTTCTTTTTATGTAAATAAGTGATCCCTTAGCCTATCAGCTAATTCTTTACTGACAGTTGAAACGCCCCATACTCAAGTAACCAAGCGTTTGTAGTCATAGAAGAAGCTTACTGGAAAAACAGACCAAACCATACAATGACAGAGGAAACCCATATCAACTCCTATAAAAGTCAACAGTTATATTAATGCTTAAATACAACTGGTCAGCTAGGAATTACCAGACATTGAGCATTGGGGAGGAGGGGGGGGAGGCGGGGGAGTGGGAGGGAGGGCCAAGGGAGACGTATGTAAGAAAAAATTACCAATTAGAATTAGGAGATTGGAAAACTGCACCCAATTCTGGAGGAAACAAAGTCAAAATGGAAAAAGTAACTTTAAAATCTAGTTATATCTTCAGAAAGATCTGAGGTATATTTGTAAGATGAAAACAGGATGCTACAGAGAAAGGAAAAACTGAGAATAAGGAGAGCCCTTTACAAGTGAAATATTGTCAAAAAATACCCCATAGACAAGCTTGAAATAAAGTTGATGGAATCTCCCTAGATATAGATCAAAAATAAACAGCAGAAACTATAAAGAAAGGAAAGATCTAGACAATATCTAACCATTAGTGTTTTTTAAAAAGAAAACAGAAAATATAGGCAAAGAAAAAAAATAATTGAAGAACAGAAAGAACTAAGTCTCCAGATTCAGGGGGCTCCAATAAAACCTACATTGAGACACAATTATGTGAAATTTTGGAATATTAAGGATAGAGGGAAGACATTAAAACTGCCCAGAGGGAAAATAAAATTGGGTCATCATAATTAGCTTAGCCAAACAGGAATGAGAAACAGACTGGGCAGCAGATTTTTCGTCAGCAACACTAAAAACTAGAAGCCAATGGAACAATGTCTTCACACACCTTATGAAAAATTATGTACCCAGAATTCCATAGCAAGCCAAGCTGTTGAGTCAAGTCAAAATATATTTTCTGACATGCAAGTTTTCAGCAAGTCTACCTTCACTGCACCCTTACTGAAGAAATATCTTGAGGAAGTTCTCCAGCAAAATGAGGATGAGAACCAAGAAAGAGGAAGAAACAGAATCTAGGAAACAGTGGACCTCACCCAGGCAGGATGTATCACTCTAGAGCAGGGGTGGGCAAACTTTTTGACTCGAGGGCCACAATGGGTTCTTAAACTGGACCGGAGGGCCGGAACAAAAGCATGGATGGAGTGTTTGTGTGAACTAATATAAATTCAAAGTAAACATCATTACATAAAAGGGTACGGTCTTTTTTTTTCAATAGTTTTATTCATTTCAAACGGGCCGCATCCGGCCCGCGGGCCGTAGTTTGCCCACAGCTGCTCTAGAGTGACAGTTATCCAACAGGATGTCTCACTCTGGAGTAGGGGTAGAGAACCATTTTTCTGCCAAGGGCCATTTGGATATTTATAACATCATTTTTAGGCCATACAAAATTATCAACCTAAAAATTAGCTTGTTATATTTGGTCAAACATTTAATTAACTCATCCCTAATGCCTTGGCAGGGCAAGACCAAATGATTTCTTGGGCCAAGGGCTGGATGTTCCCCAGTCCTGATTTAGAGTGACTGTTATCCAACAGGATGTCTCACTCTAGAGTGACAGTTAGTTATCCAGCACACAAACCCAGTTCAGATGAGAGTACACAGTCTCAGGCTCTCTGGGAAGAATATTCATTTTGTGCCAAGGATAGTATCACCGAGAAGTTACAATGTTTGAGAGTATTGAGTACATACATTCTTTAGTCAACCAAAAAGAAAACAAAACAAAAATATATCAAGAAATTTAAGCCCATTTCTAAAACAACAACAATAAAAATACTCATGGAATATAAGAAGAGACTCGATTTGACATTGGCGGTAAGTCTATTTCCTTTCAAATGGCACAGGCATGACATTGGATGTGTATGGAAGAAAATGTCCTAGCTTCTATGTGGCTCTCAGTAAACAGTATTTATATAGCCAAAATAATATAAATGCTATTTATTGGTACTTAGTGTTCTGATCAGCCTATAGGCAAAACATGAAAGACTTAATTTTTTATTCAGAAATGAAATTGAAATTAACCCTGACAAGTTAAAGAGAGCAGAAAAAGGTTGAAAATTGGCTGTGGGAAAAGAGATGGAAGAAAGAGTAGGGCTACTCATATATTTAAAGTGGGGATGGAAAAAGAATCTACAGTTAATGGAACAAGAGCTGGAGGATTGGTATGTTGTTCAAAGCTATAAATTCAATAGAAGCATTAAAATGATAACTATCAAAAATTTGGGAAAAGATAAGCAAAGGAAAAGTGAGGATAGTGTAAGTTAAATCCTTATCTTTTGTAATGGTGTATTATTAAAGATTGTCTAAAGTTAATAAACCAAGAAATTATTGTTCAAACATTATTTAATGTTAGGAAGTTAGAATATCTAAAAATAGAAATTGTTAAATGCATTGCCTCTAGGGAACGGGACTAGGGTTAAAAAGGGTGGAGTGGGGTACTGTGTTTTTCATTTCAAGTCCTCTGTACCATTTAATTTTTTACCTTGTGCATGTATTACTTTGAAAATTTGTTAATAAAGTCAAATAAAAATCCTTCAGTGGCTTCATATCGACTAAGCTATAGTCCAACCAAAACCCTTAACATGGCTTATAAGGCCCTCAGGTGTGTTGATTCTTTCATGTGTCCTGGCTCATCAAAGCTCCCCATTACTATCTAGTTGTAGCCACACTTAATATCCTTCAACTGTTCTAACATACTTCACCTTGTTTCTGCAGGTGTTCTATGAAAACAAAACCTGCCCCTGTATCACTGTGAGTCTGGTGATTAAGTTTACTGTCTAGCAGGTTTTCAGTATTTGTTGAGTGAATGAATGCACAATAGAGTATTGTGTGAAGATTGCCAACTAGTGTCCTTTCCCAAGAAGGCACATAATATTTGTCCCTATTCCAATACCATTTCAATACCATATGGAGCTGTAGGCTATCCTGCACTCTGATTCATTGGACAGTTTTATTAAGTTTTAATCTCATATGAGATCAACTGGTGTCAGAGATTTCTATCCGTCAGTCTCCTTGGTTTGTTCTTTGCCTGAACGTAATCTATTTTCAGCTATTTTTCCTCTGTATTTGGGAGAAACAGTCAACTATCTAGTGGAAATCTTCAGGCTCCCAAGTTTCTTGTGTCCTGCTATTCCTTGGCTGTTTCTTCTCCATTAGTTTATTGTCTAACTCCCAAGGCCAACTAGAGCTCTCTAATGAGTATTAACCCTACAGCCAATCTTCAACAATTGCATTTATTAGAATTCCTCGTAAGATTAATCTCTGATATATTTCATCTTTAAAGCAATGTCCCTACCAGGGGTCACAACCTCACCTAATATATGTATTTAACAGTAGCTAACCAGATATGACTTTAGATGTTGACTATTTTTGTTGACATCCTTCTTTCACTTCATGCCTATGTGCTTTACTCCTTTAAAGCTTTTGGACCCTATTTGACTTCCACCTTGAAACCGATTTCTTTCTTTGACTGACTCATTGGAGTCAGTCTTCCAAGTGTGGTAGAGAAGGGTGAAGGTGAGCCTCAACTTTTCATAAATCTAACTACATGTACACACAAACAATTCCATATCTAATTCAAGAGAGCTATAGAAATGCTACTTATGCATTTGGATTCTTGTGCATTTAAATGCTATAAACAAGAAGCATTTCGTTCATAGGAAAGCTTGGGCAGTTTGAGTTATTACCAATGTCCTAGTCTCATGTCAGATGGTGGATTTCATAGTTGTTTATTATACATGAGGAATAAATAGAATAAATGAATGAGTAAATTAAAATGAGCCATGCATTGACAACTGGTAACAGGAGCCAAGTGTTATGTTAATACAAATATGTGCACCTGAGGGCCATTAAAAAGTTACTGTTGTTCATCTGTATTATATAGGAACCCATATAATTATTTTAAAAATATGTATACATATGTACTAAAAATTTCTGCACATAAACTACCTAAATTTTGACATAAAACTCATTTTCACAGATTGCCAAAATTATGCTGAAAGGGTAGGAGTGGGGAAGGCAAAATGATCAAATGTTCAATATAAAAACAAGTCCAGAGGCCCCACAGATATTGAGAGAAGACGCTCCCCCTTCAACACAACCTGTAGTCCAAGACCTAAGTATATAAATCAGCCTATATCTATGCCTATTCCTGTTTTCTGTGAAGTGTCTGTGCTTTAAACAGGAGCTAAAATCTGGAAAAAGACCTTAAACTCCTTCCTCTCCCTCCATCAAGATAAACAGAGATGGGAGAAGCAACTCCAGCTATTTTTTGTTTTGTTTTTCACATAGTTTCTCCTTTTGTTTTTGCTATCTGTGTGGTCACTTAAAAATTCACTGAATAAACATTTATTAAACACCAACAATAATTCCAGTTACTGTTATAGGGTCTTGGCATACGAGATAAACATAATAGAGCTCCTGCCCTCATAACTTGTGTTAGTCTGGTCCCTCATAGTGCTTAGGTTCCAGTTTGAACATAAACATGAACAAATAAACATATCAGGTATGGTAAGTACTGAAGGAATATAAAACTAAGTAAGGGTGGGATAGGAGACTGCAAAATGGATATGTTTCCTGTTTTATGTAGTGAGGTCCAAGAAAGCCTCTCTGATAAATGTGACATTTGAGCAAATTCTTGAAAGAAATGATGGAACAAGCCATGCAGACAAAGAAAGGTAAAATTATACTTGACATATAGCTACTTTCTCAGATGTAAGTCTTGATCACAGATTTCTGACCTTAACATCATGATAGGAGCTGTTGACCTCAAAGAAACACAACTGTTGAGTATCTGTCCTCAAACTACCAAGTCAAGTCACACTTCACAGTATATTCTGCAGCTTCTCTGTGAAATTTCTCTATGACTAAGGAGAAAGAGGGGCTCATCTCAATGGTTACTATGGCCTCTGCCAAAGATATTGAATGGAGACATGACTCTATATTTTTTATATACTAAGTTCTGGGCCCCTGTCAATGGCCTGATGGATCTAGTAACAAGTGGAATTTGGAACCAAATTCATATGGAGAAAATTGATCTGGAAACAACTGAATAAATTTGAATAGCAATGAAAGTTTTAGTCTTACATTTTGATGTGTAAAGTAGTGGGAAACTTAGACTCAGTTATTCTTGGCTTCTCCTTTCATATCCTCCCTACTCTCCTCCCTCCCCAAAGCCTTGAAAGGAAGACCTTAATGTCACAGGGCCTTTAGAATAAATGAATTTGGAAAGACTTGTTTACATTTTCAGGGGGAAAAAATAATGTTTAGGCTGTAAAATTAGGAACTTTTCACACATTCTTTCTCTGTAGGAATTTTGTCATAGAGATATTTGATCTTCCATGACTCACAATCCCCACACACTAACATTTTAGCATCTTGATACCTGCAACCCTTATAGGATTATATGTGAAGACATATAAACCACACTGATGTAGGTGCAATTATAGGAAACTGGAGCTGTTGTGTGCCTACCCAGTGAGTCTGATATTTCAGAGCCAGAGGAAAAACATCCACTCTCAGCCTTGGGTTAAGTCACTGGCTTTCAGACAACTGAAATTTTCAGTGCAAAACTAAACTTCAGTTTAACCTGGTGATGGGAGGAGTTTAGGAATATAAGAAAACCACTCCCTTATTCCTTACTGGAGGAAGAGAGTTTCAGCATGGCTATCTCTGGAGTGGCAGTGATAGCTTCTGGGACATCCTCTGTGATTGGAATATTATTGGCTCCTAGAATATATGTTTCACATACTTATGACCCCAAAAGAAAATATAGGCCCAGGTTAATTTCACAAATACACCAAAGGAGAATGAAAATTTTTATAACTCTGAATTAGGGCTGCCCACCTGTCAAGAGAAGCAGCAAACTTCAGCTTCATTGCTTTAAATAGGCAGACAGGAGCTTGCCCTTAGAGATGGACCATGCTATAATTTGAATAAAGGTTATCATACACATATTAGAGAATGGAAATGTAGTGGCTAAGTCTTTCATAAATATTCTCAAATTAATGTCTTTGCTCTCTATTCTTACTACAAGACTATTTTAATAAATACAGTTGAGTGTTTTAATTTGGGAGATATAGTTTTAGCAGTACTTGTGTTAGTCCGGTCCTCCGGGAGTAAGAAGCCAAGATGAGATCAAATATGCTAGGAGAGCCATCAGACTGTGATATGTGATATGGGAGAGAGCAAAGGAAGGAAATGCTTACACTGCAGTGCAGGACTCAGAAAGTTTGGTCAAGGCCAAGGGGGAGTCCTCGAACCAAAGTCAGCCATCAGAAGAGTCCCATGTCTCCCTGGAATGGGCCTACCTTAGTACCCCCGCCACACTTAATCACTTGCCCTTAGAGATGGACCATGCTACAATTTGAATAAAGGTTATCATCCTTGGCCTTGGTGTCCAGGATTCCAGAGCCACCAGCTGGGACTGTCAATCCCCAAAGTTGGAGACCTGAGCAGGCCATTTTCATGGCCACCACAGTACTTATTCTTAAAACAGTTGTAGACACCTGTTCTGGATCATCTTAAATAGTGACTTAGTCAACCTCCCCAGTGACTCATGCCAGTAAATGCATACAGATGGACTCATCCATCTCTATTCCTAAATTAGAGTCTGGTTAATCCTTTCCAGATTCTTGGGGGCCTTTGAGGAAAGAATATATGGGTCACATAACTTTAACATATAACTAAAAATAATTGAAGAAGGCAGCCAGTAATTCTTCATGTTGGCCCATATTGGAAAGCATATCTATGAAGTAATCCTTGCATTTGGCTTAGTGAGAATTCCTGAAGGAATTTTCTTCTAATTGACAAAAAAAATGGACTGATTTACAATAACAATTCTGATTTGTGTATGCCTCTTGCATATCCTGGACAATTAAGTATCATATTGCTTATGTATATTTATTGATTATAACCCAGAAAGAGCAGGCATTGCAGTGCAAAGGATATGCATTAGCATGCCTGGCTTAAGCCCATTCATATCTAGCCTTGGAACTGGAAATGGCTTCACTTTCCCCTGCATGCTGTAAGGAAGAGATGGGTTATCTGAACAGAGTTGGGGTTTGGTTAGAAAGGACAATAAGGGTGGAATAGGGAACAGAGTTGAGGAGGTGGCCTCAGTGTTTTCTACCTGGCATCTCTTAAGCACCTTTCTCCAGACTGTAGACCACAATCCAGAATCCTTCATACAACCTCAACACCTGGCCCAGGGTCTCTTCAGAGCTAGCACTACGTGAGTCCTGTTAACAAGTGTCAATCACCATGAACAATTGGTCTTTCTCAAATCAAGCCTTTCACTTTCAAATCTCCACACTGTGCCTGTGATGCAGTCTTATACTGCAATGCTCTCTCTGCCCACAAAGGTCATATAGATTTTTCCAAAGCGAAGTTTTAGTGCTGCCTTCTCTGTAAGTTCTCCTCTGAAAGCTGAATTAGAAACAATTGCTTCTCCCTTTCTGTTCCCTCGTACTTAATTTGCAACCAATTTTGGCATCTATAGAAATTGATCTGATATGGCTGTTTTTCATGCCTGCTCTCCTCTAGACTT